CTGGCTCTTTTTGGGGGCTCTTGCCTCGCTCTCTCTTGGGCTCTGGGTCTCTTCTTTGGGCTCTGTTTTTTTTTTTTCTCTCTCTCTCTCTCTCTCTCTCTTTGCTCGTTCTGTTTTTTCTTTCTCTCTCTGTTTCTGTCTCTCTCTCTGTTTCTGTCTCTCGCTCTGTTTTTCTCTCTCTTCTCTCTCGCTCTTCTTCTTCTCTATCTCTTCTTCTCTTCCTCTTCCTCTTCCTCTTCCTCTTTCCTCTCTCTCTCTCTCTCTCTCTCTCTCTCTCTCTCTCTCTCTCTCTCTCTCTCTCTCTCTCTCTCTCTCTCTCTCTCTCTCTCTCTCTCTCTCTCTCCTCTCTCTCTCTCTCTCTCTCTCTCTGTCTGTCTCTCTCTCTCCCTCACGTAATCTGTCTATTGCTTCCACTGTAATTGTCGAAAAGTAGATAGATAACAGAAACAGATAAATAAATAAATATAGCTAGTTAGATAGATAGATAGATATTTATTTATTTATATGTGTGTGTATGTATGTATGTACGTATATGTATAAGTATGACAGATTCTGATTGGCAGATATGATGTCTATCCTCTTCACTGTCACCCATCACTCTTCTTATTTTTTATCTGTTCATCTTACGCAGTGATTCTTTATCTTCCCCACCTCCTCTTATTCCTTCGTTTGTCTTGTCCACTTTCTTCCCTCCTTTCCATTTCTCTATTCTTCCTTATCTATTTACTTCCTTCTTTCTTTCTCCCTCTTTCCCCTCCACCCCTCTTCCCTTCTCTCCTCTTCCTTACCCTTCCCTCCCTTCCCCCTCCTCCTCCTCCTCCTTCTCACCCTGTTATCCTCGTCCTTATCCCTACCTTTACTTTTATCCTTTCTCCTTATCCTACCCCTCCCTAAATGTCCTTATCCTCCTCCTCCCTCCCTATCTCTTCCTTCTCTCCTTCTCCCCTTCCTTCCTTCTTTCGTCACTCCTCACCCTCCCTCCCTACTCTCCTTCTCACCCTTATCTTTCATCCCTCCTTCTTCCCTCCCTCTTCCCCCTTCACCCCCTCACCCCTCACCCTCCTCCCCCTACCCTACCCCCTCCCCTACCCTACCCCTCACCCTCCCTCCTCCTCATCCCCTACCCTCACCCCCTTACCTCCTCACCCCTACCTCCTTCCCCTCCTTCCCCCCCTCAAAAAAAGACAAAAAAAGACAAAAGACAACTCCCCTAACCCCTCACCCTACCCTACCCTCACCCCTCCCTCACCCTTCACCCCCTCTCTACCCTCACCCTTACCCTTTCTCCCCCTACCCTCCTCCCCTCCTTCCCTCCTTCCCCCTCCTTCCCCCCTCAAAAAAAGACAAAAAAAAAACAAAAAAAGACAAAAAAAAGACAAGAAAAAGACAAAAAAAGACCACAAAAAAAAAAAACCCCAATGAAAATGGTAAACACAAAGGCCCTTCCCGCGCCCTTTCCCCGACCAACTCCCCTGCAGTACGGAGGGCTTCTGTCGCGTTGTCTTGACTTGACTTGCCGTTGTAGCAGTCACGGCTCGTCAGGGCAATGGGGGGGATAGGAGGGGGGAGGGGGAGGGGGGACGGGAAGAGAAAGGTGGGAGGGGAGGGGAATGGGTGGGAAAAAGGGGAGGGGAAGACGGGAGGGGGAAAAGGGGGAGGGAAGGAGGGTGGGAAGGGGGAAGGGGAGAAAGGTGGTGGGAAAAAGGGGGAGGGGAAGGAGAGGGGGGGAGAGGGGGAAGGGGGGAAGGTGGGGGGGGAAAAAGGAGGAGAGGGGGGGAATAAAGGGGGAGGTGAAAGGAGGAGAGAGAGGGGGGAGAGAAGGAAAGGAGAGGAGAAGAGGAAAGGAAGAGGTAGAGAGAGAATAAAGAGGTGGAGAGAGAGAGAAGAGAGAGAGTGAGGAGAGAAGAGAGAGAGACAGACAGAGACAGACAGACAGACAGACAGACAGACAGAGAGAAATAGAACAGAATTTGGTTGCTCTGAGATAAAGACAGAATGCAGAGAAACGCCGTGAGATTCCGGTGGCAGGAAGAGAAAGAGGAAGACAAGAAAATGGAAGAAGATAAAGAAGTAGAGGATTGACAAAGAAGAAGAAGAGGGATAAGGAGGAATAAGAGAAATGCGGCAGACGGATAAAGATAATGGACTACGTAAGAGAGATGGATCAGTTTGCGGAAATAGTTGAATAAATAAAAAGAAGAGAAAGAGAATAGTTTAGGAGAGAATATAATAGATGAATAGATAGATAGATGACTAGGTAGGTAGGTAGATTAGATAGATGGAGATAGATGGATAAATAGAAAGAGAGGGATAGAGAGAGAGAGCGATGGATGGATGGAGATATAGATAGATAGGTAGTGTCAGTAGATTAGATAAATAGATAGAATAGAGAGAGAGAGAGAGAGAGGAGAGCAGAGAGTAGAGAGAGAGAGAGAGAGGAGAGCGAAAGAAAGAGAGAAAGGAAAGGAAAGAATAGAAAAAAAGTCGGAAAATGAAACTAAAGTCCATAGACCTATCACTCAATACAAAAAACAATAAAAATGAAGCGAAAGAGAGACGAGAGAACCCACTTACCAACCCGCCTACTTACCACCAAACCCGCCACTTACCCATCAAAAACCCACTCACCCCCCCCAACCCAACCCACCAAAACCCGCCTACTTACCCACCAAAACCCACTCACCCAACCCACTTACCCACCAAAACCCCGCCAACTTACCCACCAAAAAAACCCACTCAACCCAACCCACTTACCACCAAAAACCCCGCCCACTTACCCACCAAAAAAACCCACTCAACCACCAACCCACTTACCCACCAAAAAACCGCTTACCCACCAAAAACCCACCACCCAACCCACTTACCACCAAAAACCCGCCCACTTACCCACCAAAACCCCCACCCAACCCCACTTACCAACACCAAAACCCGCCCACTTTACCCCCAAAAACCCGCCCCACTTTACCACCCCACCACTTACCCTCCACCAACCCACTTACCCACCAAAAACCCCCACTTACCCACCACCAAAACCCAACCCACCAACACCCACCAAAAACCCGCCCACCCAACCCACTTACCAACCACCCGCCCGCCCGCGAGTGTAGGCCGCCCTGCTGTGTAGAGAGTGACTTCCGTGGCTGCACGACACCTTTAAAACATCACTCAGATGATAAAAAAAATAGAAAAAAAAAACATCATCCTCCCCAGACCGAGAGAGGAGGAGAGAGAGAGAGAGAGAGGGGGACGGGAGAGAAAGAGAGGGGGATAGAGAGAGAGAAAGAGAGAGAGAGAGAAGAGTAGAGAGAGAAAAAAGATGGAGAGAGCGAGAGAGACAAAATGAGAGAGAGGAAGAGATTCAGAGATCACAGAGAGAGAGAGAGGGAGACAGAGAGAGAGAGAGAGAGAGAGATTCAGGGAGAGAGAGACAGACAGACAGACAGAGGAAAGAGAGAGAGAGAGAAAGATTCAGAGAGAGAGAGAGAGAGAAAGATTCAGAGAGAGAGAGAGAGAAAAGATTCAGAGAGAGAGAGAGGAGATCAGAGATTCAGGAGAAGAGGAGAAAGACAGACAGACAGACAGACAGATAATATTCAAAGAAAGAGAGAGAGAAAGATTCAGAGAGAGAGAAGAGAGAGATCAGAGATTCAGGGACAGAGAGGAGAGAGAGAGAGAGAGAGAAAGAGAGAAAGATTCCAGAGAGAGAGAGAGAAGAGAGAAGATCAGAGAGAGAGAGATCAGAGACAGAGAACAGATAGAGAGAGAAAAAGATTCAGAGAGAGAGAGAGATCCAGAGAAAGACACAGAGAGATCCAGAGAGAGAGAGAGAGAGAAAGATCCAGAGAGAGAGAGAAAAAAAAAAGATCCAGAGAGAGACAGAGATCCAGAGAAAGATCCACAGAGAGAGAGAGAGAGGCTTCTGTTCCACCCGCAGCACAGATCAAAAGTCCTCAAGGCACCGGCTGACGGAAGAGCAGGCAGGAAATATGTATTTTGGCGAATTCTTTTATCACTCGCAAATCTGGCAGGTGGAAGTGGCTCTTACATCTTTTTAGGCATTGGTTTGGCAGGTGTGTGTGCGTGTGTGTGGGGGGGTGGGGGGGTATGTGTGTTGTGTGTGTGTGTATGTTGTTGGTGTGTGGGTGTGTGTGTGAGGGTGTTTGTGTAGATGATGGGGGGGGAGGGGTTCTGTGTGTGTGTGTGTGTGTGTCTATGTTTGTGTGTGTGTGTGTGTTTGTTTTTGTGCGTGTGTTGTGTGTCTATGTTTGTGTGTTGTGTTGTTTGTGTCTATGTCTGTGTGTGCTGTTGTGTGTCTATGTGTGTGTATGTGTGTTTGTTGTGTGTGTGTATATGTCTATGTCTGTGTGTGTGTGTGGATGGGTGTATGTGTGTATTCATGCCTCTGAGTACAAAATATGCATATCCATACCTACACACACACAGACGCACTCATTCACGCAATATACACAACAATTCATTCATCCACTCACACATGCAGCACGAGAGTACACCCGGACGCATCCAGCCCCCGTGCGTGCGTGCGTGCGCGCCCCTCTGCGTGTGAATGCGTCAGCCTCCAACAAAGGCAGGGTGACCATTAACGTGCCACCTCCCTCCTGCTCCCCCTTTCCCCCCCCCCTTCCCCTCTCCTCTCCTCTCCCCTCTCCTCCAACCCTTCCCTCTCTCCTCTCCTCCCCCCCTCCCTCTCCCCTCTCCTTCCTTCCCCCGCTCCCCTCTCCCCTCTCCCTCCTTCCCCCCTCCCCTTCCCCTCCCCTCTCCCCCTCCTCCCTCCTTCCCCCCCTCTCCTCCTCCCCTCCCCTCCCCCCTCCCCCCTCTCTCCCCCTCTCCTCCCCTCCTCCCTTCCTCCCCTCTCCCCCTCTCCCCTCTCCCTCTCCCCCCTTCCCCCCCCACCGCCCCAAGGTATGTCGCTGCGCCACTTGCGGTCATCAGCTGCCCAGACGTCAGCCAATAACATAAGTGACGTGTCAGCAGCGCCGTCA